CGTAGCTGAAGTTCGAAGTACCTTATTTCGAATTAGTTGAAACTTACCTTGGTCCACACTCGGCAGGCAGGCTCCCCCGTCGACTCCGCGGTACTCCTCTCGGCGAGCTGGAGTACCGCAGTCGACGGCGAGCACTTCCGGGTTCGACTTATCGCGTCCAGACTAGACGCGATAAGTCGAACCCAGAAGTTCGATTTCCAGCCGTCGAACTTGCCGGTAAGTGTAGCCAAGGCCTCAGTGGCATAGTGTCCAAACCCGCTGTAGGTCATACCAGCTCCTTAAAAAGTGATAGTCCCACAGTCTCCTTCAGACTCCCCTCAGGTCTTTGCAATGATAGTCTGCAATTTGCGCAGCCTGCAGCATTTCTAGCAGTGCAGTTGGATGAGGGAGCCTTGCAGTCTAATCTGGCTAAGCCCCTGGAATACAATCCTTACAGCAGAACTTTTTGGTCCTTGCACTGCTCCAGCACTGCATCACAGCAGACGGGCAGCACAGCACACACACAAGACAGCAGGGACACAGGGAAATGTAGGGTGAACACGAGAGCAGTATCGCGCACGAGCAGGAGACAGCGAAAGATAGACACTGTTTCAGCTCTGAGGGCATGAGCTACCTAGGAACTAAGCTATGTCAGCCACTTAACTCCAGGACACGGTTCATAACTGAGGATCCCAAATGGAGGGAGAACCTATCTCTGGCCCGTCAGCCAGGAGGCCCATGTTAGGTGCCTGAGCCCCTCCTCTTTCCACCCCTTACTGTGGCATTTCACTCCTTGCTAACTTAGGTGGCTTCCAGTCAGTTTGCTGGTTTCTGAAAATGCTGTTCTGGGGCACCCACCCTTCCCTATGTGGCTAGCTGGAGGTTGAGGAGTCCAGTAGGCAGCAGTCTACCTAGGGGTTAGGCACTGCAGTACTGACTGGAGCCACCCCTACTTTTGAGTTTCTGGGCCCCAGTCTCTTCCACTTTGAAGATACATTTATGACCTTTGGAATCTTCTTCTGAACCAAACGTATTTCAAAACATATTGATGATGGCAAATACTTGAGATACTGAGCAGTCCCTCTCCAACCCCTCTCTCATACTTTTGTACTTTTTTCCCCATGCATCACCTCACATTCGCAAATATGTACACCTCATCCTTTATTATGGCCATAACATGAAATAATAATATGCAATATTTTGTTGTGGTTGCACCCTCTTCCCTTTCATGGTGAGGAACGAACTCTCCAATTGTAGCTGCTATTGCTTTCATGTTTTCTTTGTCCTCCTGGCCTCAACAATTTCCTATAACAATGAGCTCCACTGTCCAGTTATGTGTAGTGTGCAGAAGTATTTCCTTTTATTGGCTTTGTATTTGATGCCTTTCAGTATAATCAAATATCCCCCTCTTCTTGTGTTATGAGACCATGAGAACAAAAGTTCCCAATCCAACTTCTCTATACTATTCATTATTGTATATACATTTATCATGTTCCCTCTGATTTGTCTCCTTTCTGAGGTTAACAATCCCATGCTTTTCAATCTCTCTTCCTAGGAGAGTTTTTCTTCTCATGTCTGAATCTTCTCTAATTCAGCAATGTCTGTTCTGAGATGAGGTGACAGGATTCCAGATGAGACCACAGCACTGCTTGATATAATGGCCTTATAATATTCCCTGTATTATTCATCGTCTCTTCCTTACAAATCTTAATATTGTGTTTGATTTTTCACTGCAGCTGCACGTTGAGCAGAAGTCTTCATTGCACTGTCTACATTAGCAGTTATATAACCCACAGTTTGGTGTGTGTTACACATCCCTCTCTGTGCTACAAAGGATGTGAGTTTGTTACAGCTTCCAGATATAAATTTAATTCCTCAGTTCATGCTACAGAGGCTGACGCTTTTAGCTTTGGAAGTCCCTCATCACAACCAACATGGCTGTCATCACCCTGTAATGTAGAACGGGTACAACACTATAGGCAATTCACTCTAAGACCCTGAAGATAGTGAAAAAAAAAGGCTTGATGAAAAATTCTTTTATCTAACTGCCATGGATAAATTGGTGTTTTGCATGCAGCATATCAGCTGGGATTCACCCACAATCAGCCCTTGAGGAGAGTTTCTAAATGATAATCGCCAGGTTAAATCTTACCAAAGCATGCTAAGAGTTGCTCCAGCTTCTTCCCTTCTCTCTCAGTGTTTGTGTAGAGTTAACACTGCTGAAATTATTAAACAGCAGCTTCTCTCCTCAACATCAGCACATGAGCTAGAAAATGACAAAAGAGCCCCAACTGCAGAAATATTAGATGATCCTTTTAAATGATGCATGAAAAACAGAATACACACATACTGATGCTGATACACTAGCCTGATTCTACAAGGCTGCAAATTGCAATAAAAATTGTTTTATATGGTACACCGAGGAAAGGTGAGATAAAAGCCCTGAAAATGCTTCATTGCAACTCAACAGCTATTTGGTTTCATTTTTTTCCCCAAGAGGTTCTGATTTACCTCAAAAGACCTTTGAAGGTCAGCTACATCTTGTTTTTCCATTTTGTTAAGCATCTCAGTATGCTACTTATGGAATGTAATACACTTTTAGTGTGTTTTTACTATTGTCATCCTGAAGACAAGGTTGGACTGCAGTAGCGATATATGTTTATAAAATATGCTTTAACAGGATAAATACATTCCAACAGCAAAATATCAGGAGACATAAAGAGGCCATCCCATACTCCCATCCCATCACCTGCTGTTGTCTTATGATGGAGAGCGCCGGTGGCTTGCTATATGCCTCTGCTTTCTTGGCACAGGGGCAGCTGGATAGTAGGCTTGTTCACATTGGACTTGGATCAATGGGTAATAAAACTCCTCCCCAAATAGTTGTGTGCTCACAGAAAAGAAAATAATAAAGAATTAAATCATAGGTCAGGCAAGAGTGCTAAATAAAATCCTGCATCCTAGTCTTTTCTAAAGTATCTTTATGTAGCACTATTTTCTAGAAATCCATATTTTGTAACTGTCGGCCACTAGAGGGCAAACTGGAACAAGTCAAGGGAGGTGGTGGAATTTCCATCCTTAGAGCTTTTTAAGGCCCGGCTTGACAAAGCCCTGGCTGGGCTAATTTAGTTGGGGTTGGTCCTGCTTTGAGCAGGCGGTTGGACTAGATGACCACCTGAGGTCTCTTCCAACTCTAATTTTCTATGATTTAACAAAAAGAAAATAAATCCTTGTCCAATAACATGCATTGCTCAATTTTAATTATGGTTTATTGTATAGGAAGTAGCCCTTCCTCTCAACTATACCTGCAGGGAACCATATATCAGCAATGCCAACTCTTTCTAGAACAGTCAGAACCTTGACTACTCTTTCTATTGTTACCATTGCATTTGATATTACACCTCATCAAGGATCTAATCCAAACTCTGTTCTCAAGTACTCAAGTGCAAATCTGGAGTAATTGCTAATGTCTATAGAGATACAGCAGTGTTTAACCAGTGTAAGCAAGAAGAAAAGTAGGTCCCTTGTGTCTCTGCCTCACCTCTTCTCATGGACTTTAAGGCCAAAGGGACTACCGTGATCATCTAGGCTGACCTCCTGCACATCACAAGCCTCAGAACCTCACCCATCCACTCCTGCAATAGGCCCAAAACCTCTTGCTGAGTTATTGAAGTCCCAAACCTGGATGATGAAAGTGATTGAAAAAGTGCTTAGAGTAATTTATTTTTCCAATTAATCTAACAAAAGTAGTTTTACAACTATTGTTTCAATTTCTTTTTAAATGGAGAAGAGTAAGAATGTGCAATGTTTAATAAAGGGATCCGACCTTGAAAGCTAGAGAATCTATTCTCCCCTTGATGCATGCAAAAATACCATTAATCTTACGTAGGCAGTAACAAGATATAGAACCGTTGAGCCAAATTCACCACGGGCATAAGCAAGTGCAACTCCACTGAAGTCAATGGAGTTGCATCTGTTTAGGGCAGCAACAAATTTGACTTCTGGTGTCAGCACAATAAAATATCCAGCATCACAGTAAATATCAGGTTAGGGCTCTTTCTTTGGCTTCTCAAAAGGGAAATTGTCAAGGTAGCTTTCTGCTAAACGTATAAGCTGCCTCACTGCAGACAGTAACAGGATGTCAACATCGCACGAAAGATCCAACTCGGAGCAGTAGTTTTTAACAGGTACAATCTGAGCAAGAGGGATTCCAAGTTTCTCTGCAGTTATCCGCATCTGTAGAAAAGGCACAAAATGGATTATCCTAAAGAGCTTCCCGACTATTTTTCAATCTTTCTGTTCCTCGAGGAAGCTAAGCAAAAGCCTTGAGTATTTTCACAGATATTGTTTGGTGAGATTAAAAGTGGAAGATTTTTAGTTCTTCAAACTTCTTTATACTGAAGACGTAACCACTTTCACATATATTTTGAAATCATATCCATCCTGCAACTGAAGTGGCAACCACATTTTGATGCAGTGACGGTTCAAGGCCACATTCACAATATTTTATTCTTCTTTAGCAAATTCACTGCTAGAAACTGACTGTGTAAACTGCCCTGGAGGCCAAAATCCTCTGTTTAATCTCAGAGGTGATACCCAGGACACAGAGCTATTTTTCCTCCATTATGATCTAGAAAGAAGATTACTAGGGATTCATCTCTGGTATAATTCCACTTAAGTCCATATTTGGCCTTTCTAGATACAGGGGGATATATTCTATGGGCTAATCCAGCTCCTTTGTACTGGATTTTGGTCATAACTAGACAGTTAAGATTCTGATGAGAATAACTCTTCACTGGTATAAAACTGATACAATCAGCAGAACAGCACTCCCTCCCACTTCCTTCCTCCCCCAAAGCACTCTTTTTTTCAGTTTTACACCTATTCACACGAGGGGAAATTTGCAGCTGGCCAGTTTTGGCCAGACTCCAGCCCCTTTATATGGAGTGGGGTTTGGCAAAAGAATCTGGCCCTTAATTTTTAATGAGGTTTCTGGTATCTCCACCTTTTTCTGTTATGCAGTTTTATTCTTCAGAGGTGCAGCTTGCAATTTTAACAAGTCCTAAACCTTTTAGGTAAACCAAAACCTGAGGTATTAAATTTAGTTATATTTTCAGCTTATGCCTACAAGACCAGAATGAGAATGTGTGTAGGAATATGAGGGGATGCAAGTATTGCAAATGTACTGTAGAGTATCACAATACCTTGATTTGTTCAAGGTAATTGAGTTCATAGATAGCACCACAGTCAACAATGCCATACTTTACCTGTTTCTCAACAGCTTTGCTTTTGTACACACACTGGACGTCTTCTTCAATAGCAGGGCAAATTTCATCCACTTTAGTTAGCAAAACAAGTTGTGGGATCTCTGTATCAAAAAAAAGAGTAAGCTTTTACACCTAATTTCCCATCAGTTCTTCATTGCAACTGCTTCTCCTTACATAAGGTGAAAGCGTTTCTGGTTTGCACAACAGCATTAGAAAAAGATTAATTATTAAACTATTGGGCAGCACCCTAATTCTCTTGGTGGGAAGATGCTTTGTAAACAAAATTATTATTATTCCACTAGTATAGTAGGCACTACACTTAATGATTCACTCATCTCATTGGGAAGATTGCCAGGGCTGAGATTCAGTGCAATGAATTCAATGACTCACAACAAGGGACTCTAAAACATGCAACACCTAGCTGAGTTCAATAGCACAACTGGGGCCTGCTTTCACCCCCGTAGGTTATGTCTCTGTCTATTGCCTCCTATGGAAATGACTCATATCACAAGGAGAGAAAATCAGGTCCCAGGTATTATGTCCAAACATAACCACAGGAGCTGATGTAAACTGGCATTCACATGTATACGACTCCCATTTTCGAGTACTTTTTTCACTTTTTGTTGCTTCCTGTCTTCACTGCAGCTGCTAAATGAATCAATCTTACCTTTACTCCCTTTTAAAAAGGTTTTAATGCCTTGGATTATATGTATTTTAAAGTAATTACTGAAATCAAAGTGAATTTTTCCTGGAGAGATGTATTCCTAGAAGCCTAGTGCACAGCTCTGTTTCCCCGGGGGCCTGTGTCAACAGGAGGGCTCTGCTGTACTGAGGAGCAGAAACGCAATAGGGCACACTGTACAACCAAAGAGTAGAGAACAACGGAGGAGATCAGGAATTCCTCTATTCTCAACCAACACCAGAGCCCATTGCAGTGCCCATACTTCCATCAGTCTGGGGGCCTGTCCCTCCAGAGTGCATTAATCCAGCTCAGAGAGTCAGCCAGCGGGTAAACCTCAAAAACAATAAGTGGCAATTCCTCCTCCCACACCAAGGATAAGCCTGGCTCCTAGCAGTACTTCAGGCCCCTAATGACCCAAGCTGCTCAAACCTGAAAGTCAGATCACCTCCTGGGCGTGCCCACTTCATTCAGTTCTATGATATTAGGAGACATAAAACGTACCAAACTGGTTCACTTTTCTTCGAAGCTGTTTCAGCTTCTCTTCCAGTTTCTCAGGGAGAATCTCAATTTTGCACCCATCAATAACAAATGCAACACAATGAATCTGATCCTTCAGAGAAGGGGTCTTGACATAGCCTGGAGAATCTGGACGAAGGGTGGCTGCTGGATTAAACTGCAAAGAAATTTTTTTATAATAATAAGTAGCACTTCCAAAGAATTGGAGATTCAAAGGGCTGTACAAACACTGATTCTCAAAATACCCCTCTGGAGCAGGAAGAAAAGTATTCTTATCTCATTTTACAGAGAGGAATACTGATATGCAGAGAGGTGAAATGATTTACCCACACTCATAAAGGGAGTGGTCAAATCAGGATTAAAATTCCAGATTTCCTGATTCCCAGTCTCATACTCATTCTTCCAGATGGAGAGCCAGATTCTGATCTCTGTTATTGTAAACGTTTGGAAATCCAGAGCTCCTTTGAAGTCAACAGAGTTCCTCTGAATTTGTATCCCTTGTGGAAAAGTAATAATGAAACCAAAAGGCATCTCTAGAAAATAAAGAGGATTCACGAGATATTCCGTGAGTGTGTGTGTGTGTGTGTGTGTGTGTGTGTACACTCATGCATACACACACACACACACACACACACACACACT